CCCCCCTCTCCTCAGTACTAGTGTACTGAAGATAATTATATAAGGATGCTAGAAGTGGTCACCGATTAAAGTAAAAGAGCAAGGGTTAGCTACGATGAAGAAAGTGATGGAATGAAGAACCGCACCGTGTTTCTTCAGCATCTATGAACAGTTGGAATCTCCGTTGTATGAGTGGCATGCAGGATATCAGTGCGGACACATATGAAGGTAACATCCGATGAACAGGCATGTTATTCACCTTACGGACAACTGGTGGGTTCGCGCATTAGAGTGGCACCTGCGATGAAATGAATGGGTTCCTCAGGCTATTTTCAAAAAGATGGTGCGCATACACAGAAAAAGTGGTGAGTGCTAGTTGGAAGTATGCAGACCTGGATCGAAGGGCTTGGCATAGCGGCACATCAGTGTGGGATCATTTCATAAATATCATTAAAATGGGACACTTACAATGATTGTCCTGCTTTACTGCTCAATTACAAACGCTTACTTGGAGTAATTGGAACAATCGCAGTTTGGTAATCTGATTTTCCAGCTATGCGGATGGTAACTGTTCCAGTTACTTTGATATCCGAAATGAACTTAGCAACTTTAAAATTCCGCTTCTTACGACGTATTCATCACAACGGGCCAGTTTATGAACACCCACGCGTGCGTGATCAGAAGTGTTTGTGATGCGCTTGTTAAGGTGCATTTAACAGAATCAGCTTTTTGGCTAGAAAGCAGCCTTTCATTTCTTTGTAGGTAGGCTGGAAAGGTATGGAGCAATTAGCGCGCCTGAGTTTTCTGGGTGTTGCAACTCCTCCTTTCAGACTTCTGGCCCGTTTTTCGAGGGTGGGGAAGCGCAACGATTTCATTTTGGCCCGTTTTCGTCTGTTCAGATACACATATCCACTGGGATTCGTTCTTTTTCATTAAAAATTTTCTTGCCCATTCAGATAAATTCGCTTTCCTTGCAGTGGCATATATACGATGTCAGATATTATAAGACCAATGCGAAAAGATTTTTCAAGAAAACTACACTCCGGGGATCTCAACCATTTTGGAAGTAGATAACTGAAAGTCGCCAATTCTTAAATTTGTCCTGTTCTCACCCTTCGCTGAGATTCATTTTTACATACTTTTTATGGACACTCGACCAGAAAACGATATTCACTGTAATTTTTAAAGCCAAAGTCAAACCTCTTCCGCATTCATTGCCATCGAGAGGCAGAGGTATTGGAAAGTAACCGGGGTTGCAGCAAGTGCCAACAGCAACCACCTTTTTGCTGGACTATCGAAAACTCGCTCTTTCGCGTTAGTAGAACCAGTTGATTAAGGATACAAACATATGCGCTTGAAAGCTCTTGGAGTAAAGAGATTGTTCTGACACTTTTTTTTTCTTTTTCGTTCTCGCTCCAGTTTAGACAACAGTTGTTGGAAGATTTGTTAAATAAGATTGCGGCTAAAACAGCGGAAATTGGACTTTTAATTCACAGAGGATGAGAAAAAATGAGTACAAGACAGGAAAAGACAGTTCAGCAGCCTAATTCTCGGACAAGAAATCCAAAAATCAGGCCGTTAAAATTGCGCGTAATTATATCTTGTTGAGGCAATGCAGATAAAGAGCAAATTGGGTTTTAAAGCCAAGCAGTGGGAAAAAAGAGCAGGATAAATAGCTTTCTCAAAGTTGCGAAATGTATTTTCAACACAAACAAAACATCGAAAATAAAATCGATATTGTATAATAATAAAACATTAAATACTGCATTAACTTAGGAGGAAAAGTCAGCGGTGACACAACGAACCAAGAAATAACTCGCGGAGGATGTCTGCGAGTTCCAGGACACTCCCTGCGATTTTGGTCGATACTACTAGGCAATGAGCACTAGGATAAACAGATGAAATAGTCATATAATGTGGGTAAGAGGTAATGGACGGGCAATGCGGATTATTAAATAGTACCCGCGCAATTTCAGAACCGTTCCTGCTATTAGTGGTCTGCAAGTTCAGCGAAAAAACGCGTGGTCGCACGGAAAACCTGGTGCGTTGCAGCCTGGGTTTTTTTTCTTGAAGTTTTGGTCAATATTTCATTACATAACGAAAATACAACTTTTTTTTATACGTCATAACATTTCTATGCATATTGACAAGCCATTATGCATATGTATGTATGTGTGTGTGTGCATGTATGTGTATATCTGTGTATATGGGCGTTTCTACATCTGACCACATATTTCAACTCAGTGACCGAGCAAGCTTTGATGATGGAATTTTGCCAGTGTTCCCGGAACCGTGGTGCCAACTTTCAAGCATGTCTGAGCTCTGCTTGCAGCACGTAGAAGTTTTGGCGGGAAAACTGCCACGTGAAGACCGGAAAAGCTGGAAAGCTGAAGTTTTTAAGAGATATTCCCCGTCCAGTGCAACTTTGAAATTTCAAATTCACTTCCTAAGTGCCGCTGGTTCCTACGTATGGAAAAATGAAAATTTTAGAGGGAAAATTGTACAAATGCAAAGAAACGCATGAAAATGGATATGCAGTCAACAGTGTGCAGAACAACATGTTGATCAAACTGAGACCTGTCATTTACAGAAACTCCTATGATTACTGTGAATGCAAATGTTACTGGTGCACGGTAATGTAGGCCCCAAGTACGATCGCCTACACAGCCAAAACTGGCACAAAACTGAGATTTGAGGTTTTACCATGTTCTACCCATAGTTCTGACCTTTCCACATCCTGCTACCACCTTCGGACTGCTTAAAATTACTTTTACAGGGCTGTCGGTACGTCGTGAAGTGCAGGAACCAACACATATGACTGTGCGACCATTCGAAAGCCTTTTTGAGAATACAGGCCAATTTATTACTGATGCTGGAGGAAGTATTTTGAAAGGCAATAAGGCTGTGGGTACACAAATATGATTTTTAACCCCTCATTTTGTTTTTCCTTAAATAAAAATTCGCTGGGATGGAGCAAAAATCATCCTTCTGCTCAGTTCAATAACAAGTGGAAAAAAAATTCAACAAATGCCCTCATTTCGTAGTCATAATTTTTTATCCTGACTGACACCAAAGTCCTAATAGTGACATTTTGAAGTGCTGAATCTGAGTTCAGTTGAGACTGTTATTGCCGTAATGCAAACAAGTTGCTTTTTTCAATATAGCAAGAATATTTTTTTCAGATTCTAAACCGCAGCTGTAACTTTAAGCAATAAATCGATATAACTGAGAGCAATAGCAAAATGTTCATGTTCATGAAATGTTCATGAAGCGGATGTTGCGGTTGATTCGTTTGTTTTGATTTTGCCGCATGTAATCCGCATGCTTCGTTGACGCTCTGATTGTTTTATGTGGTTCGGAAAATGGGCAAAACTCATTTCATGGCACCTCAGGTAGGCCTACAACATCCACTGTCTATATGATTTCGCAGCGCTTCCCTTGGAGTGGAATTACTTTCCACTCAATATTTACCTATACATTACCATCTTCACAAATTCACGGTTCTGAGATACTGACATTTATTTCGTATTTTTTTGGTTTCTTTAGTGAAACACGAACACGCGCGTATGCAAACAGATAACTCGTTGTTGCGGTTCGCTGAAAGCATTTTTAGTAAAGTTTCCATATGGAATCGGGACAACACGAAGCACTTTACATTTTTCCCATTCCCAGTAGGATTAGGTCACTGGTGAATTTTAATTGATTCATGGACCTGATTTTTTTGAATTCTTGATCGACGAGTACATTTTCAACTTAAGACAATCAAATTCTCAAAATACCGTCTCTTGGATGTTACGGATTTCGAAAACAAAACTATTTTATGATTAATAAGAACATTCTTATTTACTGTACGTTTTTTAGTGAAGATGCATCTCTATCTGACTGATAACAAAGCAACAGTAGCCAAGTATTATGCAACACTCAATAGCTAGCCTGCTTGAAACATTACTCTGTAACAGAAGCTAAGAAAACAATAGTTATTGTCCACACTAACTTAACTTTTAACACTCTTAAGCAAAAGAGTACGTAATACTCAAGAAGTAAATTTGATATTCAAAGCAACAGTACTTACGAGGCAGACGATACTTATTATAGCCAGTACCATTTAGTAGCTTATCAATAATAGCCGTATCAGTTGCGCATTTCCGCTGCGTTAAACCTTCACTCCCGCTCGACCCGTTGTTATCATTTTGCTCGCCATCTAGAATATCACCCCAGAAGACATCAGCCGGCTTCCGGTCTTCTATCAGGTCATCGTCCAAATAATCATAATCTCCATCATCAGCTGCTGTTAGCGTGATTATTTGAGCAATGAATGAGCAGTTAGAAAGTGTCATTATGAAAAGAGGAAGCATAAACTCCATCAGAACAAATATGATCGTGTGATAATTTCTCATTCGTAATGAGATATCATTTTAAGAAAATGAAGTATTTCGATTGTTATCAGAGAAGTAGATTCCACTGAAAGACGTTAACTTGCAGAGTTTTTGAACAGTGTAGAGCAGCTGAACAAACCATCTGTACAATAAGCTAAGAAATTCATGAATAGTCAGTTTTTCCGGGATAGCGACAAACAATCCATTCCACATACAGAAATCAAGTCTCAAAGTACTATGTAGGTTTAACAGCACCGAAACAAAGAATAACAGCAGATGCAGCTCTTGATGAAAAAATAGGTCCGGAACAAACTGGAAGCTGTTATACAAATGATACCATTCCTCAGTTTTTCATAAGGCCTAAAAATAATAAACGATAAGGAATGTCTTGGACGGAAGAAAACGAAGATTTTTGCAAACGTCTAGAGACAGCTCTTTTCCTTAAGAACCTCCGATTAGCCACGCCTATTTGGAAAAGTAAGCGCCATCGTCATCGCTTATTAAAAAGCAAAAATATTTACATATAAACGATACAGAGAGAAGTTACTAAGGCAGCAATTTATTAATTTTTTTAAAGTATAAGAATGATACCTCATACAAATGGTATATATATATATGCGAAATAAAAAATTAATAAATTGCTGCCTTAGTAAGAATTATATATAAATCTTCTGCATGAAGGATGTATATATATATGTATATATATATATATACATCCTTATATATATATAAAGGATGTATATAT